GCACCAGGCGATCTCCAACTTGGAGAAATGCCGAGCTGCTGGAACCCACCGGTGGCGGTTAAGAGCTTCTGGGAAGCAGGGGTACCCTGCAGCTCCCAGTCGCCTCCAGACGGCGGGAGCCCCTGGAGCTCCAAACCGGGAGGGGACGACCACTGAGCCCCTGTACCTAGGGGCGCCCTAAGTATAAATCCAGCCCTGACAATGGTGGCTTCCTGGTCTTTGTTCCTAATACACACAATAAAATATCCAGTTGCCCTGGTCAAAAGTCCAGATCTCAACTGGAATCAGGTAAAAATATTACCAGAGATCCCAGCAGGGGCAGATTTCCCAGAGCACCAGGTTGCTGCATTTTTAATTCCACCATCGGCAGGGCACTGACTGGCCATTGGCCCAGGATTGGCAGGACGGGGGCGGCTGGGGGTGTGTGCAGCTGAGTGGCGGTTACCATCTGCCCATGGTGCCTTACCCTGTCTCTGCCTTCCAGGGCTCTGCATCGCCCTGTGCCTGTGGGGCACCGTGGCCCAAAATAATGGCGTACAAGGTAAGGCTGACTCTTCCTGGCTAACCTTCCCGAGCGCTCCCGGCTGCCCGGGGTCTCCTGCCTCCGCCCCCTCCGGTCCCTTTCCTGGTGGGAGGAGAGCAGAGTCTGGGGTCCGGTGACCCAGGAGCAGCTCCTTTGCATGGACATCTTGGGGTGGATTTACAGAGCACAGTGGATGCGTGCAGGAGAGAGGAGAAGGCACCCTGCGTAGCCTTCGCCTTCTCTTCCCAGCCCCGTGGCCAGCAGAGAATAGTCACTGGGGCCCAGGACTCTACACTGGGGGCTGGAGTGAGGGGCAGATCCCCTTTGTACCCAAGGGCTGTGTTATTGACCAGCCTGAATCAAAGCCCCTGATGGCTCAGACGTTAGAAGTGGCATTTGTAGGTGCCCACCCACTCTAAAATCATGCTGAATTGAAACCTGGGACCCACGTGCCCAGCTGGGGGGTATCTGGGATCCCAACTCTGCACCCCAAGCCCAGCTCTGCTGCGAATCCCAAGATGGGATTCAGGAAAATTCCCACTGACCCACTGGGGTCCCCCAGGATTGCACCCACCCTGCTCCGTCTGCTCCCGTCCCAAGCCCTGCAGCCGGCTAAGCTGCGCTGGGATCCTTCCCCTCACACTGGCCAGAGGGACGGGTCCCAGCGGAGCCCCAGACACCGGGCAGCTAAAGGATCCAGGAGCCCCCATAGGCAGGTCACAGTCTGGGTCATGGGAGGCAGCTCAGGATCCAAACTAGCCTCGCGCCCGACTCTGCTCTCAGTCAATCCAGAGCAGAGCCGGGCAGGAATTTCCCAAGGACCCATTTTTTGCCAGGAAATGCCGATTCGGTTTAGAGGAACGTTTGGTTTTACTCGGGAAAAAATTGCCCGGGGGGTGGGGGGGGATGAAATAATTTTCAAAACGAACAATTCCCAATTTCTGGTTCCAAGTGAGGTTTCAATTTGAAATTGACGCTAACGAGAGTAACGACGACAGCAACAAAAAGGAGAAAAAATGGGTGAGATCGAAAATGTTTCACATGAAGCGACGCCCGGCTCCGGCGGCTCTGCCTGTCTGTGCCGGGGGCTCCCCGGGGACCCCAGGCCCCTATGCAGCCGAGGGCAGCTTGTTGCCAGGCGGTGGATGGTGTCGGAGCTGTTTGCCAGGCGCCGAGGGCTGAAAATCAGCAAATGGGGCATGTGAAAGGAATCAATCACACTGTGTGTGTTGGGGAGGGTCAGGGGGGACGCTCTGCACTGGCTGACCCTGCCCAGCTGTTCCCACCCCTGCAGGTACCACTGAGGTCTGCAACAACCATGTGCTATGCCCAGCAAATGCCAAGTGTGTGAACAACACCCACTGCACCTGCCTGGATGGATACCAGACACATGGGAATCGCTTCTTCAATGACACAACGGAGATCTGTGACGGTAACGGGGGTCCCACGTTGTCCGGGGGGGGGTTTGGGCAGAGCAGGGCATTAAGGGCTGGAGCAGCCAACTCCACTAACTCCAGGGCCTGTTGGGGGGGCTAAGCCCAGCTGGGGAATGATGGGGGGCAGCAGCACGGGTGAGCGCCGCCCTCCTGGGGATCGAACCGGGGCCTCCAGAGTGAGCAGCAGGAGCGGCTGCAGCAGGAGCCAGGAGCGTTGGGCTCTGTGAATGGGGCACAGGGTGGGGGGGCCCATCACACTGACCCGTCTGAACCCCAGCCTGGGCCCTAATCAGCCCCTGGGTGTCCAGGGGCAGAGGGACCCCACGGGAGTGGAATGGGGCAGCCCTGGCTATACTTCCCCCACCACCCCCAGCCCGCAGGGATACAAGGAGGGAGGGGGCAGAGGAGAGGCAGCCTGTTACCCCCCCCTCCCCAACACACAGGGAGCCTGGAGCCCCGGGGGACGTCTTCCCCCCCACTCCCCTTACATGGGGGATCTGGGTGTTTGTGCAGTCAAACCCCTCCCCCCCCACCACCTGGGACAAGAGGCTCGGAGGGACTGTTTCCGACATTCCAGCAGCAGAAATGGGTAACTGAGGATCAGGCCCTTAATCACTAACTGCTCAGGGCCCCGGTCGCCTGGGTCCCATCATCCAGCTCAGTGCGGGGGGTTGGGGGGTGATACGGGGAACGTCTCCCCGCCAGGACTGTACAGAGCGTCCCCTCTTGCATTACAGATATTAATGAGTGTTTTGGGCCGAGCCCGCCAGACTGCGGACGC